ATATATATATATATATATATATATATATATATGTATATTATCATTAGATCCCGGGCATGTCACTTTTTTTAGTTTATTTTTTTATAATTTATTACTAAAATCGATAAAATTGAATGAATTATAAAATTTATTTTGTGTTTAGTACTCGAGTAATGATGAATATTACAGCTAGTCCTTGTATGTTGTGAATATGAAATATTTTTTTTATAGATTCTAGCAAAATAATTTATCTAAGTAGTATGGATACAATTCTCTCCTGTGTTGACGATTCAGATATAAAAAAATATCTTGTATGAATATAAACATAAAGTAGTTTTAAATAGATTGTTGAAGTTTCAATTTACATTTTACGATAACGTCTATAATGATTTTATTTATACAAATTAATGTGAGAGTAATTTAAAAACCAGGTTAGTGCAATTTTAAATATTTATTTATTTCATTTTAATACCAAGTATTAACTCTAATAAAAATTTCGAATGCGTTTATTTCGAATAAATAGGACAGTCACGGCGATGGTGTTAACCTCTAGATGCTTATAATTTAAGCATCCTTTGATTATATACATAAATGTGTTGAGTATATTTTTAAATATTATTGGAGATTTATTTTAAATTTTAGATTTTTAATAGGGTTAACTATATATTTTTTTTTAGTAAAATAAAAAGTGTTTTATTATCAACTTTAAATAATTGTTATATAATTGGCGGCAGAAAAATACGCTGATTAAAATTTTGAAAATTTATCTATTTCGTTTATGGTAGATTTTAATTATTAAATTAATTATTCAATAAGCAATTTATAATGTTATCTTTTGACGTATTGCGTATTCATATCAAGTAATACAATAAAATTGACACATAAACTATTATTTTTAAAATATTAAAAATTATATTGGATTCATGAGATAGCTATAATATAAAATAAGTGTAATACTTATGTATTACACTTATTATTATGCATGATAAAAATGATATAATTATGATTATAAAATTAAAGAAATTATTAATATTAAAATATACTAAAACTTAAAATTATAGATAGCTTAAATTTTTATAGAAAACGTTTTAAAATTAAAGTAATTTGTTTTTTAAGTATTTGAATATTTTTTATTCAATTAAATAGTATTTTTTTAGAGTAAACTTTTAAATATTTAAAAAGAAATCATGCATTTCTGAGCTATGATCGTGGACGTAGCTTGCAAAAATTGTCTGTCTGAACTATAATCCCATATTCTATATCATTAATTTAGATAAAAAAAAAACTGACAGGAAAGCATTTCTATTTTTTTTTTTTTTTTTGTAAATCTAGATCCCCTCATTCATAAATCTGATCCTGATTAGACCACTAATGTTGGGCACTTTTCCCGGTGAGTACACATTACTATGTATCTATAGTACTCACAGTCAAAAATATCAAGCTAGCCGAATTATTATAAAAAAATTAGAAGTTTTGAAATCCTAAACATATCAAATTAAAAAAAAACAGCGTTCACATTTTTTAGATATAAATTTAAATTTGGTATTAGTATTTTTATTTTTTTTTTTTTTGAACAGGGGTTAAGGTCGGAGATTTGATCTCAAATTGTCAAAATATTATTTAAAATGATATTTAATAAAGTTTATAAATTTCAGTCGTAATAAAACAAATTTATTTAAAGATTTCTATTGATTTTATTGCGTAGTAAAAATTAAAAATGGGTCGTTTGGACATTTAAAATATATCTTTGGTAGTTCAACAATCATTTGTAAAACGAAATCATCTATAAATGATTATTACTAACAAGAACATCTGTCCTTCGTGATATCTCATAAATGACCCCAAAGCTTTGTTTTTGTATTTTAAATACGCTAATATTCTTTGTGGGTCAACTATTGTATCAAACACCGGAGAATAAAGGCTATTACTTGTATAATAATCGCAATGTTTTAGGTGGGGAGAGAGATTAGTTTAAGCAAAATAATAGTTTATTTCAAACTATATATACAAACAATTCAAACTTCTTTTTCAAAAATCTACTCACTCAATACGTTTAAGGAAATAATAAACTCTAATAATTTTCATTCAGGCGCTTGCTGAGGGAGGATAGAATGAGGGGGGATATATCCTTCCATGGGATCAGCCACCATTCAAAATAATATAGTATAAGTTTGTTTTTTTTATCGATTTCGTTACGTCATCCTATGATTCTACCTATAAAATAGAACAAAAGATATTTTACTATCTACTATATTTATGTGGATAATAATTATTTTAAAAAATTACTAATTACTAATTAAGAACGATTTAAATAATTGAATCATTAAAAAAAACTAAAAATAATATTTTTTGTTTAACTTTTCTAATATAATATTATTATGTAAAAAAAGACTAACGCAAAATTAGGAGCTTATCCGTCAAGTTTAATTGTTTTTGTAAAACTTTAATCATGCGATTCATCAGAATTTTACAGGAAAAAAATGTGAACTTTCCACTAGAAAATTTTTGGGTTAATTCTCATAATTAAAATATTATATATACTATATTATATTATATGACTAATATATAGATAATTTTATGAGGAATTCAAATATATATATATATATATTGGTTATTATACGATAAAAAACTGAGGAAAGCGGAATTATGAAGAAACATTTATACATTATTTATAACTTTATGTATAGATTAAAGCACACATATACGTATACACAAAGCACAAAAATTTGAAACAGTAAAATTTTATTTCTATAAGGCTTTTATAATTCAGTTTTTTGTGAGTTTATAATAGCCCTACGTGCTTTTTGATGCTTAAAATATAGAGTAATCATAATTGGTGTATGACAATTATTTTATAATTTAGTTGGTTTTTTTTATTTTCAAACTGAGTGAACAATCATAATTTGCAAAATATTTGGTAATTTTTTTACAATAGTTAAATAATTTAGTAACCAATTGTCATACTTATTTAAAATTCTATTTGTTATTTATTTTACAATAAAAAAAACTTATTTCATATTTTTTACTTATAAGTATACTAATTTTTTTAGTATTTTAAACACGAATCCATTATAGTATTTACTTAACAAGATACCCAAAAGCTTATATAATAAGCACACTGAAAATAAAAAAGGTCATATGAGTAGAATAATTTTTATAATATTCCTCCCCATTTAAATATTCTAGGTACAGTACTGAGTCTTCATTAGATTACTATGTAAAACAAATAAATTTAATAATTAGAGAACCTCAATATCTGGTGTATCCTGAGAGTAGATGTTTTCACTTTTCAGTAAATCTGCTACTTTAGTGGCCATAATGATAATATCGATGTCGTTTCTTCGAGTCGCCAACCAGAAATCTGCAAAATAATTGAAATATTCTTTAAATTCGGATTTTTTTTAGAACTTTATTATTAACCTGGATGGATTTATAGGAATTCCGTGAACTCACCAACGACGAAAAGTAAAACAATCGTATCAGTTACACTGTTGAATAGCTGCTGGTTTTATGAAGACCGTGAAATTAATTATTCTTGATGTTGGAATGTAATAAAAAATATCATTAAAAGATCAGAAATCTATTTGTAGTACCTACAATCATATTGTTTAACTTTGCAACAATTGTGTGCTGTGACATTACTACAAAATGGGCGTTGCTGGATTATAATTTATTTATTAAATTCAATAATAAGTAAGAGCATACATTGAGTCCTAAATTGATATTGTCGTTTGAATCAGGTTGTGGGAGATTTTCATTAAAACAAAACGAAGTGGGGGCTATACTTATAGATGATCAACGTCATAACATCCACGTGATTATCAGCAGTAAAAGTAACTAATTTATGCACGAATCATCATATTGGTTAAAGAACGAGTAAATAAGTACTAATAACCTTCAGATAAGATAAAAATTCAAGTACTCTAAGAGAGTTTAATAATATTAAAAATGCATTATTGTTATTATATTTTAATCATATTTAAGTACAGCTCATTATTTAATCTAAATTGGATATCTAAAACATTATAAATGATTCAAGAAGAATAAAAGTTATATTGAATATTTAATCAGTTTTATATTCTAAGTAAGCATGGAATGGTACTAATAACTATTTTAACATATGAACATTATTAAAACTTAAAACATAAACCACAAGAATTATTAAAAATCATAATTAATAATTTTGAAAATAACTGTGGGGATTATAGTAACAGAAGTTAATTCTATTTTAACTGTTAAACAAAGTAAGTAAATAATTACAAAAATTAGTTTTCGTAATTAAATTGATAATACCAGGAAATAACATGTTGATTGTAAAGGTAATATTTTATTAAAAATAAATGTGAAAAATTTTATAAAAAATTACTTATGTTCTATGATCATTATATTATTTAATGAAATTTAATTTTTGAATGATATTAAATAACATAATAATTTTCATTGATATTGGTAAAAAAAAACACATCTATAACTAAAAATAATGATAAATTCTGGTTCAAGCATTTAATAGTAAATGCAATTGTAATAAAAATTAAAACATCAATAAAAGGGCATAATTTTTACTGAAATTTAAAATTAAATTAATATTAAAAAGATAACAAAACAAAATATTTCCTTTTAAATAAAATTCTAAGTTACAAGAATAAATAAAATAGGTTTTTATGATTACTCTATGCATAACAGTAACTCACAAAAATAATAAATATTTCTTATACAAATAAAATTAAATAAAAATAATAATTTAAATTTGAATAAAAAAATATACATACATATAACCTTATTTAGTAATTAAAGTACAATTTCAACAACCTTATCTTAATACGGTTCTTAAAAATATTAGTTAATGAAATATACACAGGATGATTTATGAAGCATACTACCCCTATTTTCTTTAATTAATGTTTTTATCATAAAAATGTAAAGATAAAAATTAAATTAATTTTTATGAACCATGGTAAAAGTAACGTTTATTGTAAGAAAAAATGTTTCCTAAGAGTAGATTTTAGGGATAACTGTTAAATGGAACGCCGTTATTATTTTTTTACATATAAAATGGAGAATGTTCAAAAAATAATATTTTGATTGGTCGATTACCAATTTTATATTATTTCTTATTGAGTTATTATAATTTTTAGTTATAAGCAAAAATAGGCTTCACATTATAGAAGAATTTTCACCCGTGTGTTATGGTAAAAATGAAGTGTCGCTCAACACTATCTCATTTCTCACCTTTTCTAAATCTTTGAATTCTAATATCTCAAAAATTGGATATTGACCAGTCAAAATATTATTTAGAACATTTTCTATTCAATAATAATAATAATAACAAGTTCCTGTTTAACTTTTGATATTTACTCTTGATCTACCCTTAGGAATAATTTTTTTTTACAATAAACTTTACATTTACAATAGTTTATAATAATAAATTTTAATCTATACAACTTTATGAGAAAATCATTATTTAATAAATAAAATTTGCTTGATAAATCACTTATATATTAACTTATAAATTTTGGTAAAACTTTTAATAAAAAAATAAATATTATATGATAAAATTTTTAAGGATAAAAATGTATCAATGAGTATATTATGGACCCATGTAAAATATCTAACATAATAGTATACAAAATATATAACTATAACATAAATAATCAATATTACAAAAGATAAGTAAATTTTTGTTATTGCTAATGTAACATTTATTTAGAAAAATGTGGAAGTGATAATTTCAAAGGAAATAATGCATATTATAATCTAAAAAATAAACTCATATTTTCATTAAAACATATCATTAAGTAAATTAAGTTAATAAAAGTACAAGTTCTATGTGAGTAGTTTATGCAAGTTTCAACATCATAATATACTAAACTTTAACTAATAACTTTTTTTATTCAACAACTTATAGCTTGAAATTTAAAGTTCAGCCTTTCATTTGCATTTAGTACGTCCATCCATTAATCTTCGCCATAGGTCAAATTGCTCATGATATTTTACCATGTGAATTGAAATTATATTATTATAAGCTAATTTTTGTTTTGTATATAATGTTTTTCCATTTGATAATGTTGCTTCATCCACATTTAGTTTTGATTTATTAGAAAAACAGATTGATTTTTCAAGTTGACGACCACTTAAACGTTTATTAGCAAAAGCTTCATTATGTTTACGTGGAATGCCTAAACTTTGTGCAACAATACCAGTGAGGAAAACATCTTCTAATTTCAAATATGGCAAATTAGAAATAATTTTTGATTGATTAGTAGATGATAAATTAAGAGCTGTTTTATCAGTTATACCTAAAGCACGCTCATAAAGTGGTTTCACAGTACCTCGAGATAAAAGATAAGCTGGTCCTGTACAAAAGTCAGGATATACAGGTTTTTTATACTGCTGACGACTTACAAAATACTTGGAAGAAGGCTGCCTGATTGGTTTCCAATTCTTGGCTAATCGACCCCAAATAACAGGTTCATCACTCACAAGAGAAATTTGAGGATTATGAGAAAATGATAAATCAGAAGAAACCAATGTATTATTTTTAGTCAAGTTAGAATTTTTAACTAAAGTTTTAGTTTGTTTTTTGTCAAGTAACACATCTTCAGGTTTTTTTCTTTTTTTTTTCCATTCGTTTATTTCATAATTATGAATGAATAATAATAATCTTTGAACATCAATAAACATATCATCATCAGTTTTCAATACATAATGTGCTGATGGACAAAATTCTTGTATCCATTCTAAAGCTGCTATTGATTTGAGAGTTAAATTAGAATAAGTGTCTCTAACATTTGTTTGTACTATGTCTCTATATTTCCTATTTTCTAATAGAATTCTTTTTTGAAGTTCCCAATCAATGTCTGGTGATAAATTTTCATCTGACAAGTTTATAACATTTTCATCATTGTCACCAGCAATTGGAGAAAAATATTCCCAAGAATTATCATTTATTTCTCCATTTTTTTTAGCTTTAGGCGCATCAGTTTTGTTAGGAATGCCTAGTAAAAATGCTGTAGATACATGATCTCCATAACGGGACATCCAAGTCATTCGAATAGCTTTACGATTTTCTGCATGATTATGTGCTACACTACTTGTAATTATTATTAATAATCGAGTGCGTTCAGTACATATATTTCTACCTTCTAAACGAAAACCTTTTTCATAAATTTCAGCAGATGTTGTAGCCAAATTTTTTTTAGATGTTGAGCCTTCAGTAAACTTTTTTACTTTTTCATTTGTTATTACACTTTCATTTCCCTGAGACTTTTTATCAGTTAAGTGGAGAGCTGAAATAAAAGAACTTTGAGATATTGAATCTGAAACAGATTTATACAAATCAAATAATTATCATATATTTTAGGAGGTAATTTTTTTTTTATTAATAAATAATTTAACAGAAAAAAATAATGAATAATAAAAAAATTGTAATTATTAGTGAAATACTTTATTCTAAAGTCAACAACTCATAGAAATAATTCAGACTAGTTTCAAGTTCAAGTATTAATTATTATACTCTCAATACAAATAGAATAAAAACTCTAAATGGTCTATACTTTTCAATTATTTAATCTATTATTATTAATACTAAATTACCTAAAAATTACTTACTATCATCTCCAACAGGTACTACTAACAAATAATTTGATGATGTGTTAGTTGAACTAGAGTAAAGCCCGCTATAGTATATTAAAAACATCAAAGTTAAAATAGTAATTCCTCCTAATGTTGTCGTTTTTTTCTTCTTTTGATTAGCAACAGACGACACTGTCATCATTAAAATACTAGCAGTAGATCCCATGGTAGAACCTACAGCTGAAGTATATCCTCGATATCGTTCAAAACGCCACCACATCTCCAAATTTGATTAGACTAATCTTAAATTTATGTGATAGCTTGAGCTACTTTTAATGTATGTACAACAGTACATACATCAATTTTTTTTTATCAAAAAGAAACATTGATGTAACACAATAAAAGTCCTTCACAGTTGGAACATCATGAAAATCTTCTATGCCCACAATTCTTTAAGATATTAGGTTTTATATACATATATTTCAACTTCCACCACGAAGATTGTATTTGAAACTTGTAAGGTGATGAACATTGAAATATTAAAGATAAAGACATGTCGTTCTCAATTATTCTGCTTAATGAATTATATTATGTTTATAGTACGAAATTCAATAGTAGACACTTTTAATAAATTAAAATAATATGGATATTCATAAAATCAATTGAGGATTAGGAATCATTATTTAATTTCATTTGAAGATATTGTAAATAAAACACGATAGAAAAAATTACATATTGTACAGACTAATAAATTTAAAACATAACTAATTTAACTTTAAACTAATAAAAATACTTTATTTTTTAAGTGTCTAAAAATATCAATAATAACATTTGTATAAAAAATAAAAATTCCACTCCAAAAATAGTTGATTATTTTAAATTATCACTAAATATAAAATAAAAAAATTCATGCCAGCTCGTATGTGATATTAATTATCATAGTAGATATATATTAAAACATTATTTTTCGATAGTTATCACTATGATAATAAATGTCGAGGTTGGACCCCTAAAGGTATAAGTTGATGATATCATGCTGAGGTAACGGGCTATCGTCAATCGACACGTACTACCTAAGTACTATAAGCTACCACATAACTGTTACTCTTGCATAATAGTTAATTCTTATTGCAAAATTAGCCCATCTTGACATTCCAGCTCCGAACTTTAACTCTAAAAAATCTGTGAATACTGTGAATAATGGTTATACCGTTATAATTGGCTTTATAATACAATAAATAATATCAATATTCATAAAATATTTACTGATTTTTATATAATTATAAATGTGGTTTCAATAATAAGAGAAAAGATTATTTTTAATAATATACTCAAAAAAAAGTTTTACCCCCAATCCTCCAAATGAAAAAAATTATATTATTATGAATTACTTCATTTCATACTCTGATATCAATTAATACGAATGATTTAATACAGTTATATTACATTCGTTTACTCATATATTATAATTCGAAAACATTTTAGCTTCGATGCGAAACTGAGAAGGTATTAATTTTACTATATGTTTTTTTTTGTGTTTGTGAACACTCAATCTCAGCTCTCACTGGACCGATTTCGATGAACAATACGTCAAAAGATCACATATTGTATCTAGTCGAAGATATTACCCTCAAAATTTTTTATAATAATTATCATATGATCAAATATAATTTACAAGAAAATTATTGATTAACTAAAGGGAACAAAATGATTAATAGAGGAATTTATTTAAACATCAAAATAATATTGAAATATTTTTAAACATATTAAATACGTTTTACCAAACGGTACACGAATTCTACATTGATAGAATAACGAAATAAATACATTTTCTAAGTTATTTTAATCGAAAATTTATTTCTTCCATTAAGTTAAAATTTTTGATAGCGTGTAATCAAATTCATGAACATTTGTGATAACCGGCCTTCGTAACAATTCAATCACACTATCCACGTCGCCGCTAGTCAGTCAATTAATTAGTTAATTTTCATTTGCAATACGATTTTTCCCCCATTCCTTGAGTAAACAAATTTTATTCGTTATTTAGTTGACCGTATTTGAACTACAACAATAATAACGACATTAAGAGCAACACAATAACATTTTTGTGTTGTAGTCGTCTCTTATAATTATCGCTACTAACAAACATCGACGTTAAAACAACTTGCAATCGTTTTACAGGTTTGAATATATCTCTTCAAAATATTTTAAATACTCATTTAAAAACCTCCCTTTTTTTTTTAACAGGAATGTTTTTTATTATGAGTTATTATTTACATTATTGTTAAAATGGGTATTATCTACGTCCATTCAAATTTTTTCTACATCTACCCGAACTGTTATAACATCATTTCAACAGCATCTGTTCTGACTTGGTCATAGGTTTTTTTTATGTTATAATTAAATACTGTTAGAAATTTACACATTCAAAAGAAAATACTGATTTCATTGACCATGATTCCTTTATCAACTAAATCAATAAGTGGAGTAAATTCAAAACTGCCTCTGATGAGTCGATTTAAGGATGCTGTTAGATCTACATTGTCTGACAAAAACTCAAGAAATCTATTAGCATTCTTAGTACTAAACTTTACATTTGCATTTGTTGAGTTTGCTTATGGTTGTTGGACGAACAGTTTAGGACTTATAAGTGATTCATTTCATATGTTTTTTGATTGTACTGGTTTAATTGCTGGTTTAGCTGCTCAAATTGTGAGTCGATGGCCAGCTGATGACTCATATTCTTACGGATACAAACGTGCTGAAGTTCTTGCTGGCTTTGTAAATGCTTTGTTCCTATTGTTTATTGCATTTTTTATACTCGAAGAAGCTGTTGAACGAGCTATTGAACCTCCAGAAGTACATCACGAACGTTTGTTCTTAATATCTGTTTTAGGCTTACTAGTAAATTTAGTTGGAATTTATGCTTTTCAACATGGAGGGCATGGGCATTCACATGGAGGAGGTGGGCATGGTCATTCACATGGTGGAGGACATGGTCATTCACATGATGGAGGACATGGTCATTCACATGGAGGAAATAGCTCTGGGCATTCTCATTTTGATGGAGAAAACCGTAGAAGAGAAACTAATTTATTACTTCAAAATAGTAATATAAATCATTCATCCTCATTTTCTATACCTATGTATAGTAATGGCAATAGCAATAATTGGCCAGACGATTCCTCTTCACATAGTCATTACCAAAGCTCAAATAGTTCTGGAAAATCACACCTTATGAAAGGTGTTTTCTTACATATTTTAGCTGATACTTTAGGTAGTGTTGGTGTTGTTATCAGTGCCTTACTTATGCGAGCATTTGGCTGGATGAGAGCTGATCCAATATGTTCAATGTTTATTGGATGTTTGGTTGGTGTAAGTGTTATACCATTATTAAAAGATTCTGCATGTGTTTTAATGCAGCGTACACCTGTAGAACTTGAAGAAAAAAATAATTCTAATTCAGGAACATCAATATCAGTTCTTCAGCAGTGCTACAGGAAATTAAAGGCAATTCAGGGTGTTTATGGTGTGCAAGAACCAAGATTTTGGACTTTATGTTCCGATTCGTATGTTGGATGTATTAAATTAGAAGTCAATGGTGCAGAAGTAGATGCTCGATTTGTTGTTAGACAAGCAGAACAAATATTTGCCCAAGTAGGAGTTCGACATTTATATGTACAATTGGATTATACACCAGTAACCTAAAAGCAACAATTTTAATCAAACCACAAGTTTAAAATTTTCTTTTGATGTAAATAAACATGTTTAAATTGCAAGGCAAGTGATAATAGAAAAAGTGTAACATTACTTTAAAGGTTATCAATTTTCTATTTTATTCCTTGTATATAATTTTGTTTATTTTATTATAAAATTTAAAAATATTTAGAATTTGTTTTGATTTAATTCTATTTATGTGTTATTATTATGTTGTGTTTTACTAATTAAATTACATTCCACAAACATCTTGGCTGTAACTTAGGTTTATCCATAATTTAGTTTAATTAAATTTTTATAATAGGTGAAACAATTTTTTATTGTTATATTATATTATGCTTTTCCATGTTTATCTAATAAAAGTATAGTTTTCTACAACATATTCAAATATTTAGGAAAAATTATGACATCAAATAGAAATATATTAAAAAGGATAAAATTTAAAATGTTTAATTAAATTTCTTTTAATAAGTATATCTAAATAAACTGATAATAAATCATGAACTTCAAATAAGAAAATAACTATATTTTATAGTTTATTTCAAATGGCAACTAAAATAAATAAATAACATAGAGCTGATCATTTAAAAAACATTATAATTTTACTAAATAAATTTGTTTAATTTATAATACCATTAATACCATGATATAGAATTAAAAATTTTTAATTTTTCTATGAAAATTTATTTAAAAGTTTAATAAATAACCATTTTTTGAGTTAATAAAAACTTAATTATTTTTAATATGAAGATTTATTTATTTGTACAAGTAAAATGTACTCATATACTAAACGCAATTGTTTTAAATCTGTATTATACAGTGCTCGAATTGGGGGGGTGCGCAGGGGGACGTAACTCCTCTACTTTTTTTTAAATTTTTTTGCGCACCCCAACTACTTTTTTTTATGAGGACGGTGGAAAATACCACCTCTTTTTTTTTTTTTTAAAATATTAGTATGATAACGAAATATAATTTATTAATAAATATTAAATAAAGTAATGAGTAAAAAAAAAAAAAGGTCTTCAAAATGCTAGGGACGCAGTTTTCAAATTGTTTTTGAAGTTGAGCTCCCCTACTTATTTTTGGCCAATTCGAGCACTGGTATTATATTATTAGTTTAGTTTCTCATTAAATCACCAGTAATTCTATAAAATACAATTCTGTGCAACATTTACAGTTAATTAAATTACTTGTAAGAATGACATTTTAAACGCATATTCAGAACACAATAGGTATAAGTAACACTTATTTAATATCATGAAAATTGAGTTCAATATTTTCATTTTCCGTATACCATGTAAAAATGAAAGCTTTAACACATTCATGTAAAAATACGTTATTTGCATTTGTTATGCGACTTATATCCATTATATTTTAAGCGCCTCATTTATAACAATGACAAACAAAAAATAAAGTGGTTTGTAATTTTGACAAAACCCACCTATTTTTATGAATTTTATTACGCTGAATCCAAATTATTTCATTGATCGTAATTGAATCAACAATATCATTTAAGTTCTCAAATCCTAAATTTTTTAAGAAAATTTCAAAACCTCATATTCATAGATAAAGGAAATATTGATATTTTTATAGAATAGGACAACTAGCTCATCTCATATTATCGTAAGAAGTTTTAATTTCAAGTTAATTTAGCTTGGACACCTTGAAACCAAATTAAAATAATAAGTATATTTACTAATTATTAAATAATGTCTTTTTATAATATTAAAGAAAATATTTAATTATAAAAAAATAGTTATGAAGAAGTTAAAAATATTCATAATTGAAGTTAATATTATAGGAGTATAATTTTCAATTAAATTAGTAACAAGAAAAATTGAAGTCTAAAATTAAAATTATTTAAAAAATAATTAAAATGACTTCTTACTGTTTATTTTGGCTAGTAAATAATGTGGTTATTGAATCAATAATTATTTTTTTGTATCAGTTTTTTAATTAATTAATCTTTTTTTTAATTATGTACAAGTAATGATACAATGCAAACAAAACAACAATCAAACTTGAATGCAGCGCAGTTAATGAAATCGCAAACGGATCAATTAAAATTAGCTAAATGTTGTATAATCGATTTGAATTCGGAAGCCTTAAAACGCATACAATTTAGTGAATCAATAATAGGGAAAAAGGTAGAATTAATCCGTTGTCAATTTAATAAGCATAGAAATTGCATTAAAAATTTGACGAAAACAAATATGACATTACTATCAGAATTAAAGAATAAATTGGAAGAACGTTTACAAAATAAAAGAATCGATACATTAAAACAAAAACAGCTAGTGTTAAAAAAAACGTTGAGTTTATTAAAAGAAAAACTTTGTGAGACAAATAAGAAATGGCATGAACTTAGTCAACACATTGAAAAATTAAAAAGAAATCATCTTGTTATACAACACATTATTATGTTATCATCTACTAAAAACAGCAACGAATACAAAAGGAATAATTGTGAACTGTGAATGTAATTTTAACATGAATAAAATCGTTTGACTTTTTTTAAGGTAAATGTAGTTTATAATTATGTGTTTAGCTTGAAAAATTGTTTATGAAGAAGTTAACATTTAATATACACCGCCTTATTGGGAAAAAAGGGGTCACCAAGATTTTTATCTAAAGGACACTCTGGATGACTTTTTTTTTATTTTACTCTTATCAAAAATTATTCCTCTGTGTAATATTTACGTAAGGATCCAAATCCTAAATTATAATGATTTGAATGAACTTTTTCAAAAAGTGCTCCCTTTTTCGTAGACGTCATTTTTCAACACCAAATTTGCATTTAAAATCAATTTTAAATTATTTGATGAACCAAATGAAGTCATTATATAAAAAAAGTACTCCAGTACTATAATGTATCCGATATAAATCGCTATTGTCTAAAAATTGTCTGATAATCGTTTCAAATAGAGGTACCTGACAAACCTAAGAATTTTTGGACTATTTATAAATAAACTGTATATATTATTTTGACCTATTTAATAAATTACGTGACCCATAGTTTAAAGCTGTTATTATATTAGTTTTTTATAATAATATTATAATTAGCCTCATTACCCCAGTCAAAAAATTAAATTATTTTAATCGGCTCTACTATAACTACACTAACTTCTCGCCGAATATTCACTCATTAATCAATGACGCTAACACTCATCTCATTTACGTGGATACTGTGCGAACCAGTAATCACCTGATAAATTATCAGCCTCATGGTGCCTCAGTTGTCGTGCTACAACATTAACTTTTGACATATTTTTCTTAAAATTAACTAATAAATAAAATGAAAAAAATTGCAAATAATATTCAATGTAAATACTTCAAATCACATAATGTTAATTTAAATATTTTTTACCAAAATGTTCATGCCCTAAAAACTAAAGTTGTAAATCTTAGAACCTACAGGCCTCTTTTCTACATGTATGGTATTTTAGTCCTAACGAAAACTTAGTTATCTCTCGATATTTCTAATAGCGAATTTGGTCTAACTGGTCATTATATAACGAGGCTCGATTGAAATCCCAAAAATAGTTCTCACTCTCATGGTAGTAGAGTGCTTAATGCTTATAAGTTTTCAATCAGATCATTACTAAGATCACTTTCCCTTATATTTTCGTTCCTTATCATATCTTCTCTAGTCACTACACTCATCTATCTAAGCATCACCTCTGCTACACTAATTCTCTGCTATATTCCATTGTCAACTGTCCAACACTCTGAACCATACATCATAGCTGGTTTCACTACAGTCTTATAGAATTTACTTTTTAGCCTCATTGAAAGTACTTTATCACATAACACACCCGACGCTTCTTTCCACTTAAAACACCTGCACTTAATACTGTGTCTTACATCCTCGTCAATAGCCCCGCTCTTTTGCACAACTGATCCTAAATACTTAAAACTTTCCACCTCTCCTATCACGTCTTCACTTATTGTAACTGAATTTCTGATTTCACTTACCTCGTGTTCCCCTTTGTCAAACTCGTATTCTATATACTCTGTCTTACTTCTACTTATTCTTGAAACCTTTTCTTCAAGAGCTAATCTTCAAAACTCTAGTCTTTGATTAATTGCCTCCCTATTTTCTACTATTAACACTATATCGTCATGCACAACAACATGTACCATGTTACTTCTCTAGTAATTTCATCCATTACTAAAGAAAATAAGTAAGGGCTTAAAGCAGAACCTTGGTGCACTCCTACTTTTACCCTAAAACCTTCTGTTACTCCTACACTTTTTGCCCTGGTACAAGTGCCATCATACACATGTTCTATTATATTAATGTACCTCTCATTAATACCCACTTTAAAACCTCTCCGGTACTCCATCATACGCTTTCTCCAAATCTATAAATACCATACACAACTTTTTCTTCATTTCCCTAAACTTTTCTATTAGTTGCCTAACACAAAATAGTTTGAGAATTAAAATTAATGTTATGAATTTGAAAACTATACCTTTTTATTATTTTGAGTGAAACACTTGAAAGATATAACATTTAAGTATTTTCTATATCTTAATGAACCTACACAAGATAAGTTAATGAGATAAATAAAATTGTTAACTATTGTAGTATTGTTAAATTTTTTTATATAATAAAATAACACATTAAATATTTTGTAATTAAGTCTCACAAAGAAATTGTTAAAAAATAAAACGATAAATTTCTAGCAAACTATTAAGGAAAAAAATTGATTTATATTAATTAAAAAATGATTACATTTTAACTATATACTATTAATATTTAATTAAATTATTGTCAATTTTCATTGTCATTGACAAAGTACTACTAAAAAAAATAAACTTAAAAGTATGCTAATAATTAGCTAACTAATATTAATAGCTACATGTATTATTCATAATAATAATTAGGTAACAAAATAACAGAATTCTTAAAGATAATGGAAGATAATGGATAATATTTATAACAGCAAATGCATATCAAAATAAACTGTTCAAAAATGATTTAGTATACTCAATCGCAAGGAACATAACCGCAGAAGCTGGTATTGTACGTACTATTGTTGGTTTTAAACCACTATACAATGCCCCAATGCCTTCTTGCCGTATTACTTTCAACACAGTTCCAAAAAATGGAGTTTTAACACTATTATTTCTTGAACCTGTTGTAGTCTTAGCAATTTTGTTATCAGAAGAACAAGCCTGAATTCGTGATTTAATTGCATCAACAGGATATATAGTTGTCCAAAGAGCAGCTCCTGCTGCTGCACCTGCTGCCATTGTAGCTAGAGGACTGCATTGTTGATTAGGAACACCTTCAGTAGATGATGGTAAAAGTAGTTTGCGAGTTCCTTCATATGCTCCAAAAAATACAAAATATCCAGGCATTTCACGAGCTACTGTTGATCCAAATCCTCGGTAGTAACCTTTAAAGCCATCAGTTTTAAATATTTCTTGAATAACGCGTACTGCACTTATCTGACCTTTCATACCATTACCATTAGAAGTATCAGCTGCTTGAAGCCGAACTTTTATAAGTTCTGTAGGACAAAGTGTAAAAGATGAAAAAAAAGATGCAAAACTTCCAGCAACAGCATTTGCCATAGGGCTTAAATGATCAATTCCAGGTAATCCTAATGTATGTGCTACTATAGATTGACAAGCACCATAAGTTGCAAAGAGAACAGAATTTTCTGCTACATTAGCGACTAAAGCTGGTGTAGTCCCAACATACAATGCTCTTACAAATGCTCGATATGGGTAATGTGGAACAGATTTTGCAGCCTGCCTTTTTACTGAAAGTACACAGTCAACCATTCCACGGTAAGCTTGAGGTTCTAATTGCATACGTACTTTAACAGTGTCTAAAGGTTGTCCCACATAAACAAGGGCTACAGCTCCAACACTTCCAGCCACAAAACCTATAGCACCTTCTCTGAATCCTTGTGCTGTATTATTATGATCAATTTCGGGTAACGTCATCGAGTGTAAATAATTCTAACGGAAAAAAAAAATAAATTAAATCGTCGTTATATTATATTAAACAAACGATGGACAACATAAGTTGAAAAAAAAATTCACAAGTAAAATTACATTGCTTCCTTTATTTAATTAACAATCAACTATTTAAAAACAAAAAGTGATAAAATACGATACTGTTTGTTAATGTCATTTTTAACAGCCAATAAATTCTATTGCGATATTATCCACGAATATTGCACGTGCAATAATAATTCAAGAACTGATTAAATTATATCAATTTCAACCTTCCGGCTCTTTCTGATAATGATAACATTTCTGGACACTGCAGCCAAGTAACTAATAAAAAATCTTACGTATAAAGTTCGAAAAGGACATTATGTACGTCATTTCATTTTATTATGTTAAATAACATGACGTAGTATAATAATTATTATTAATAATAATAATGAATAATTATTGATTTATTTTTAAGTACATGATACACACTACATTGAATATAAATATATATATATATCAATCTTGGTTTTTTTAGTTACAACTTTAATTGTATTGTATCTAATAACGCCGAGATTTAAAATGAAATTTAAAAACATTAGTCTGTTTTAAGTAAATAGTAATCATCGTAAGTAACATAACTTTTACCCATTTGACAGTTAACAAAAACTTAAAAAATAGTACAAAAAGTTTTAAAACTCAATGGTGCAACTAGGAAGGTCAGAGGGTTGTATTCACGCACTGATGTGAATACCAATTCATAAAATTTTAATTATAGATATTTCCCTTTTTTATAATTTGTAAAGGTTTTTGAGTTTTAAGACATTAATTTTTGCAATAGCTTTTTGTATAAAATAAAATAGTCATCTAAATTATTTGAAATTAAAGTATCATTTAAAAAATATTCTGATTGTAAAAACTTGTATTCAGAATTAATGCTTATTAAATATTAATTCTATCGATATTAATAGTATTATATATTATTAAGTATTGTTTAAAAAGGTAAAAAAATATTTTTTAATTTTAATTAGTGATGATAAGAAATGTTTTATTATTACCAATTTAAATATATTTAAATAAACAAAAATACTATAAAGTAAAATAGTTATTTATGAATTTGTTTAGCTTTAAAAACATTAGGTATGAGATTGTATACAAATGATTTATAATAAAATGTATAGCAGTTATAATTAGTAAAAAAAATATCATTAATAATTACAATATTAAACTTAAAATGTTTTTATACATTTATTAGTCAAATTGGAATTAAAAATATTTTCTGAAATCATAATACTTTTTATGCACAATTGTAATAATTTATATTTCATACATATTTTAAGTAGGACATCTTATTTGTCACAAAGTTAATAATTAATTATAATTTTAGTTTCATACAAATTAATATATTAGTTAAATTTATTGTTTGTAAAACTTAAATATTTGTGACCTGATTAGAATTTGTGCTATTGATAAGTACAACGAATAAGCTTTTATTACTTTTTAATAACTTTTTAGTAACTTTTTATTACTTTTCAGATCAAGAATAAAATTTATTCTCCGATTACACTTAGAATGTTTATAAATTTACTAAGTAGTGTTTCAAGCCAAATTTTCGATCTTTTGATGTTATAAGAAGAGTAAAACCTAAATCCAAATACCTAATAATCTCTAAGTTGAATATTTTAAGTTACTGTCTTATTCGTTGCACATGGTGATATGTTTATGTGTGTTGTGTGAAAAATGTTACATCAACGAACAGGTTAGCAGATATCAAATTGTGTACACTCCACTCTCCGCCCTTTCTAGCTCACTAATTCTCTGAATGCTACTAAACGTATCATTGTCTATTAAACTGTCAAATGTAGGCTCAATAACTGTGATAATACAATTATCTTAGTTGCTATATATCTGACCGACTTTAACCCCTCACAAAGGCTCGAGACTTCTAGGCGCTTTTGTCAGTCTGACTGGTTCGATGCGACGGTTGTCTGGGAATAGCTAAGTCGGAGTTGTCAGTTATTTCTCATCCGTTCATATCGTTAGTTTTTTTTGTTATGTGCTCTACAACATATTTGTTTGTTTATTATAAATTTTTTTTAGCGAGTGTCCGCTACATTATAGATATATAAATTGTTTAGTTTTCATAGCGTTGATCAAACCAGTCTCCTGTTTGTAGTCCTTCGGGATTGGTAATGTATATGCATACTACCTGTCACGTTTATATAATAGTTATACTTTTGTATTAATTTATATATATTTTTGTAGCCTTGCTACATACATAATTTATCATATTATATTGCCAATATAATATTGGTGATTTATATTATTATAACAATGTGGTTACGTAGTGCATTTTATTTTTGGGGTATCCCAACGTTTTGCTAGCTAAGTCTATTTACTTAAAACCAATCTCTTACTTGGGGCGTATACTCATCGTGCTCAATAGCAGACGTATACCTGAAGACGTTCATCATATTCTCAAGTTTAAAAGTGTAGATGTAACAAATTTTTTTAGTAATTTCTAATTTTTGTTTCTCTGTTCCCTTTAATTTATAGACAGATTTTTGCTTCATATTACCTTAACTTGTTTTTTTTATTTAATAAAGCTCCTTATTAATTTAACTTTGCCACAAACTTTTTTTTGTGTGTTCCACCTTCAATGGACTCATATTTTTTTTGTATTTATTTCCCTTTAAAAATCATCTTCCCCTAGTTAATTAGGTATGGGCAACGGCCTTGTCTAAGGTTATCCTATGTCATTATGAATATGTGATAACTTGTCACAAGGTTTTGGTGAACATCAACGGCTTAACGATCATAAGTTTCAAATTTAGTTAATTATAAACCTATATTTATGTTTATATATTATTATGACATGATCAATTATAAAAAACATTTTCTTCTAAATATTTAGATAGTACTTAATTTAGTTATGACCTTAAAATTGAATATTTTGTAATTTTATTCTTATTATTTTTCAAAAAATAAATTGACTTTGATGTTCAATTTTCAATTATTTTTGAATCCTAATGTGGTTATTCCCACTGTACTATGACAATACATTGTCTAGCCCAGTAGGTTTTTATTATTTTCACAGCACCATGAAAAGTAACAAAATGTATCTGTTGTGGTCAAATAATGTTTTTTATTATATTTGTAACCTTTCAATTTGTTAACTAAGATAAAAACTAAAAGTATAATACGATAAAAATTGTATCTCTAAGTATACAATAGCAGTCTTATTACAACAAATAAATAAATACATAATAGTTTTTAACTCCGTCTTAAAAATATTAATTATTAAAAAAGGACCTTTTCTCACAGTATTGTTAATCACATAATAATCAAAAATGAGTGATTTAATACGCTGAAAATTCAACTAAACATAATCTATTCTATTGTTATCCGACATCATATTATTGTTAATTGCTATATTAGAAGTATTGTCTTCAGCACAATCAGGAGAATTAGATAAAGAAGACCATAATTTGCTAATAGTTTTCTTGATACGTAGTGCTGGAAGTCGAGTATTAGGATTTTGATGCCAACATTCACGCATTAATTCAGCCATACCTTTTAAAATCTGTAAATATTTATTTTAATTATACAAAGTAAACTGAAAAAATAATTATATTAAAATAAAATGTTAAAATAAAATAAAGTGTTTTTCTATAAAAAAATATTAAATGAAAACAACTTTCTATTTTTTAAGTAATGTAGAAAAAATTATCATGTTGGTAATATAATTTTACTTTTTTCCTAAAGAGAACCCTCTTTTAAAAAAAATTTAAAATCACGCTACTAATATAATTACTTTTTCTACACTAGTTATACTTTTAGACTAGAAATTTAATATTCACTTATTAAAAACTAAAAAAAAATGACAACTGATCAAATTTATTTTACTTACTGGATCTGATGACCAGCGATTGGGTACATATGGACGATGACGTTCAGTACACACAACTTTTCGCATTTCATCAAAACTTGGATCATAACCAACTCGATCATGATATGGAGGTTTGTACTGCAAATCTTCTACAAGACCATTGCAAGCTGTTCGAGCACAAACTTCCCACAAAACAAGTGCTAGTGAATAAATATCTCCTCGTCTAAATGACTCAAAGCATTCAATAATTCTGAAAAAATATTTAATGTCTTAAAAATAATGTATAAAAAAAATTCTTGGAAGAGTAGACAAATTTTGGTCCTCTTGCTTAAAAGAATTAAGTTATTAAACTTAACTGTTTAAGAGTGTTTAATTTACTAATTTTTAGCTTAGATGCGAAACTGATAAGATATTGTTTTTGTGATAGTGTGTATTTTATTTTTTATGCCTACCCATAAAAATTCTTAGCTCTCACTTGACCATTTCAATGATCAATATGTTAAAAGGACCCGATTGTAATCTATTAGAACCTATTGTCGTCAAAAATGGAAAAACTCTCAATTTTAGTAATCAGAAAAATATCTTAAAATTTACACTACCATAAAATTTTCAAACTGCTTTAACTTTTTTTAAAAACAATGATTGAAATTAAATCTTAATAGAGAATATTAGACATTAAGCTGGTGTATCTTTTTTATAAAAATCCTAAGTATAGAAAGAATTTAAAATAGACCGCCTACACACAAGTAAACATTTTTTTAAACTATTTTTGAAAACATTCTAGAAAGTCTGACAACTTTAAATCTATATAAATTAAAGCTTATGAAATATACAATATTAAAATAAAAATATTATCCAATGATTATTCTCCTATGAAAAATTGAATGTCAATGTAAAAAAATCTCAATTTAAAAAAAATAAACATTAGTATGGACAATTTTTGGTTTTTAACATTATAGTTTAATATGTATTTAAATTAATCTGTTAAAAAAATTTAACAGATTCGCATCAAGGCGTTTTATTATGATACCTATGTTAATCACTCAAATATAATATTAGCTTAGTTATATTTAGAAATATAAAAATATTGCTAATACTTACGATTCGTCAAGTACTTCAGGTGGCATGTATCTTTTAGTTCCAACTCGAGTTGGATTAGCTGCCAAAACCATCTCATCTGTTTTTAGAACAGCCATTCCAAAATCTGCTACAACACATGCTCCATTATTTTTTACTAATACATTTTTGCTTTTAATATCCCTATGAGCAATAGCTGGTTTTCCCTAGAATAAAATAATTATTTATAATTGTATAAGTATAAAAATAGTTTTTTCTTAATTGAAAAATGTAAAAATTACCTGTGTTCCAAATATTTCTGTATGTAAATGTACAATACCATTTACTGTAGTAAAACAGATTTTTAACATTTGATCACGAGTTAGTGGAGCTACATTCTGATTGTTCAAATAATCAAACAATGAACCATTTTTATGGTAATGTGTAATAAGTAATAATTGAGTGTAAGAATTTCTTGAAGTCATAATGTCTGAACCAATAAATCCAAGTATATTATCATGACGCATGAGTACAGTACTAGATTAAAATTAACTTAATTAGCAATAAAACAAACAATATTGTAAACTAAACATTTTTTACAAATAATAAAAACTATTTCATGTGAAATAGTTTACATTATAGTTAAATATTTACCAATACAAAATTGAATTTTTAAATACATTTAAAATTTTTAATGTTAATATAAAATATTAATATCCAAATAATGGTCTATAATTTAATATTATTACAAAATTTATAACATTATGGTACTTGACCAAAGAAATTCTAAATGTGTTAAGTTTTTGGAAAATCCAAAAAAAACCCTTTCCTTATCTTCAAGGAAGATCAAAATAGTAAAGTGTATAATAAATTTAAATTTTCAACATAACTTTTGAAATTGTATTGGAAATTCTACATCTTCTAATTATATTTTAAATTTAAGTTTATGTAGTATACTAAAAGTAAAAATCTGTTTCTCATCTTATCTACAATGAGTAACATACCATTTGTTAAGCGAAATAAGCTATTTTAGTGTAAAAATTACTGATTTTATATTGTTATGATTTTCTACTTATTGTATTATTTAATTATTAATGCCAATACTTTCCACTCCCAAAAAAGGGTATTCTTGCTACTAATGGTTTATGATAAATTACAATTTCAATTTTTTTTTGATGTTACAATCAAATTTTTACATTGAAGCATTTTATTATGATAGTGATTTTAGTCACTGTTAGATTTTAATTTATAATGGTCTCCACTATATCAGGCCCTGTACTATACTGGTTTTTCCTTATAAAACAGTTAATAGACTTTTTATTAATCATTATTATTTCCTGTACAATACTCTTTACAAACATAATACAAGTTAGGAATAACTTCAGGATTTACATTAATTTAAGTTAGGCTTGTAACAATGAGCTTACAAACAAGGTTGGTAAATATTAATTGTCACCAGCAGCGGATCAAAAAATTTGGCCTATGAAACTAGATTAGCTCGTTTTTTCCTGTGATTACAACCACAAAATATTGTTTTATACTCAATATTATTTTGGATTTATAAATTAGAGGTCTAAAGAATCAGTTTTCTTTTTGATTTTTTAGTTATTTTAAAGAAAGTTATTGATAATTTGAATTATGAAGTTATATCTAACTTACGCTATATTTATTGTCAACCCATGCATACTTTTGGACAGATAATTTAATATTACTCTTAAAGAGGATATCTACCAAATATTCAACAATTTATTTTAATTGTGTATGAGCTTGTTCTTAATAAAATATATAAACAACCATTATTTTTAAATGTTCACATATTTGTAATATGAAGACTTTTAAACATTTTTTTTTTTAAATAATACCTATGTTAAGAGGAAACATAAAAAATAGCTTTTTTCAAAAACTTTATTGACAATAGCACATTTCAAGGTTAAAATATGAAACTTATTGGAAAAGTTATTTTAGAGTCACTGGTATAATACATTTTTTTTAGTTAATGTAGTTTTATAACTAAATATTATATATTGATTTGGTTAGGTAGGCAATTGATTTATCATACAATTCTAGATTTCTTATAAAATAATAATTTTGAGAATTTGTTTTTTTGTTTACATAACACTATTTATTTCTCAATTTATAAGTGGTTAAACAATTATTAGGTCCATCCAGTATCCCTTAAATGGATATTAACTTTATTTTTTATTAACTTGTGGAATTTACATTTTATTACAATAGAAGAAATAAAATTTAAATTTATTAATGTTAACCTTGTGCAAAATGAGATATATAGGGTATTCAGTAAATAAGAAAAAAGGTTTCTATTGTTTTCTTAGTTCGTAATAATTGACCAGTTTCCTTACTTTTTGAACACTCTGTATATTACAATAGTTAAAAGTATACAAGACAATTTTTATGTATCTACTGATGCAATAGTTCAGATAATCTATAATCTATTGATTTATAATATATTACACATTATAATTATTTATTAAGATTTTAAACATTTTTTACCTGTATATTTCAGTTTCTCGTTTCCATGAAGGTTCATCTTTTGAGAGAAATATTTTTACAGCAACATGCTCTCCATGCCATAAACCTTTCCATACTTCTCCATAACGACCCTTACCAATTGTATCAAGTAATGTTATTTGTTTGGCTAGTGTTCGTTGCATTAGCAGTGGTAAACCAAACCCACTACCAGATGTCATGGAATGTTCATTTAACATGTAGTCATCATCATCATTGGGTTGCTACCACAAAAAGTTTCAATTATTAATTTGAATAAAAGTCAAGTTTCTCGAATTATTATTTACTGATAAACAGGTTTTAATTTAAAATAAAATTTAGTTATTGTCAAGTAAAGGAAATTATATAATATGATGTTAAAAGGTTTGTTCCTAAATTTAACTAAAGGGAAATTTTTTATTTTCTTATATTTCATAGATGAATACAAATATATTATTATTAGCTTACCACATGATCACGTAATAAGTCCATTGTAACATAATGATTGTCTAATTGACTAATATCAAATCTAGATGCGGCTGCTGCTGCTGCAGATATCAACCGTTTTCTATGGTTACGTCGCATAATAGCCACAACTATTAAAGCCATAAGAAGTACACATACTATTGGAGTTATTATGGCAATAAAAAGTTTAAATTTTTCTAAATCCATGCTACTATCTGCAAAAAAACATTTATTATTTATATAAATATATATATACATATATAACAAACTATAATACAATAACAAAAAGTTATCGAAAAATTTAAGTTAATTTATTACTGCTTTAATTTTAATGATAGTTTTAACATTCATAGTTTTAATAATGTATAAAAGCAGAAGATAACATAATTTACTTACCACTAAATTTATTTTCAATGTTAACTAAAGGAAGAACGGGAAATTCACCTTTGTTACAATTATCACCTTCACAACATTCTATAATGTATTGACGAATACCAGCTTCAGCTGAATATGTAGTATGAGAGGAAACAGATTGAATACATGGATGAATCTGTTTTGGATTAGTAACACACCCTCTATTTACACGTTCAATTCCATCTTCACGAACTCTTGATTTATAACACTAAGGAAAATAAAATATATAAATTTTAAACTAAAAAATACAAGCAAGTCAATTTTTTATTAATATTCTTTAATTACTTTAATAGCTCGCATACATGCAGAACTGTGAGTACCATCTTCTTTACATTCATACTTTGAGATATCATTGGACTCACAAAGAAGACAATTAAACCTTTTTTTGTCATCTGTCGACTCATCATCATTAATGTTTACATTGGAATTTCCACTGAAAAATAAAAGCGAGCCACTATTACCATCTTCTTTGTCAAAGTCTTTTTCTATTGAATTAGGTTCATCATCTTCATCAGTCTCAGTCATCATGTCTATATACCGTTCATGATTCAATTGAAAAGGGTGGACAGAATTATTGCCTACATCAGATTGAGTCTCTGAAAATTGGCCTAAAGACAACAAAATGATGACAGCAAAAGAAGACCCAATCATTTTTGATATCTTTTCTTAAGTTTCATGTAAATTATGGTATTCTTGTAAACCATTGTACACATTAATTTTTAATTTTTATGTACGATACTAAAACGCGGACAGAGGACCAACATCGCTTAATAAAATGACTACTATCTAACTGTTTATATCTAAAATGAAGGTAAACGAAAACAAAGAGAAGGGATGAAAAGTAAATTATACAACAATGTTGTTGGTTAGTTTTCAAAAGAATACAATGAAAATTTCAGTGAATATAAAAAAAAGTGGGGGAGATAAGAATAACCAACCTTAGTGCGTTTTTAAATTCAGAACTCTACAATTTTAACCAATATTCATAAGTACCAAAAACCCAATTGTCCTACAAATAGAAAACTTAGAATAAAAATAAAAAATTGTATTTTTATTTTTTTCAAAATAGCCGTTTTTTATTCCTATTCTTACAAAATAATTGAAATGACGTTCCTGGCTTGTGCTAGGTAGAGGTTCATTCCAGTACGGCCCTAGAATTTTTAAATCATGTAGTAATTTACAATAACGGATTAGATTTCTACTTTTCCAAAAAAACAACAGTAAAAGAAAAACATATTTTAATTTATTACTACACGAAGTGTAGAATGATAAACTCAGATATGCAATGCGGCTAAATGAAAAATAGAAAATAAATTAAAATATAGTTTTAATGAGACAGCTATAGGCGCCTCCTATAACTTAATTTCCAGGGAGACATTCCCGCCTGGATATCAATTTATATCTATGGACATAGCGATTAAATTTTTACTCTCCTGGATAGCTAATAAAGCTTAGTAAAAATATGTATTATAAAAATTGACCACTCGCCTTGTTCCTGTTATTTTTTTTTTAATATAAGGATCCATAGTTATTCAACAATTAATTACATAGTGTAACAGTTAATTATTTTTTAATAGTTCTGTTTGCGGTAAGATAAATCTTGCTATTTTATAAATGTTTTTTAAGAATTTTTAAGCTTTTTGTAAAGGATTCTTTCTTAAATAGGTTTGAACGATATCTTTATCTATTTGTGTTTATTTCGTAACTTTATTATTTACCAAGATACTATAGTTACACTTTGGGGAGAGGGATTAAGGTGCCTTAGGCATGCATAAATATTTTAATAATCCCTTAAATTGATGATATTTCTGTATTGTTATCAGATTTTAGTACTTCTGTCGTTTTACTATACTAAATTATTTTAACCCCCAGGACATAAATAATGAAGGGGTGGTAAATACCTTATGCCCTATGATCTTGAAGGCTTCATCACAAATTTCACTAGCCTGTCATGATTGACATACAGTTTTTCTGTTTATCACTTTTTTATGTTAGCAACATTTTTATAGGGGCCATATAGGTCTTAAGCTGGCTCTCTAGCTACCTAAAATTTTTTCTTCTGGCCCGTCTATGCGAGATATTGGAAGCCTTACACACTCGGAAGACTAAAAAATCTTAAATCTCTAATATTATTATTTTCTAAGCTCTAGATCAAATGGTGAAAAACAATCAGATAAATAAACAATTTGTTAATCATTCTTTATGTTTTTATGAGCTTTGATTTAATTTTTTTTTATCTATTAGAAAATTCATTTTCTTTATCAAATTTTAATTACTCAAGATAAAATAAATAAATACACTTTTTTTTGAGTAAAAACAATTAAAAATATTTTTGTGCGTGATTTAAAAAGTGATGGGTGGTATACAAAATTTTGGGTTTTACTATTCCACACAGGATTATAATTAAAATATCTTTTCAGTCAAGAAACAGACAAAAATAAAATAAATTTCATATCTGTAATTTCATAATTTAAGTAAAAAAATCTAATTATCGTTTAATTTTTTTTATCATTAGTAATGTGTAAGTAACTAAAATTCAGTATTTAAAAACTCAAATTTAAAATTTTTCATTATTTTAATTCCTACTTAAAGCTAGACTGATTTAAATAGCGGGATTACAATAATTACTTAAATTGTTTTTAGTGCACATACAGTGATATACAGAACCTGAATGACACTATTCAATGTAAATTAGGAGAGGGAGTTCTTCCACCAAAAACTAATATTTAAACTATAAAGGCAATGTCATATTTGCTATTATTAAAAATATTTTATAGCATAATATTGTTAAATTGACATTTTATTATATCATGAAATGTTTAAATAATAAAAAATAATATATTAAAGGCCAATAATGTATATTTAATGAAAAAGTATATTTTACCTCCATATTTTTATGTTGCCGCCGGTGTCTTTGTCCGGCTGATAAGCGATAACTTTATTATGACCACGTCATCAGCTGACCAGTACCATCGTATGCACATCTAAATTGAATACACAGAGTGTGTTAACTACTTAATATTTATAAATGCCGGAACTGAAATTTTGCAATTTAAAACATAAGTACTCTTTGTGTTAGTTAATTGTAAAATTAATTATTGGATAGCAATTTATTTATTTTTTCTCTGTGATTAATTTTAGTATAATAATACTTAATTTTGATTTCTGTGAAATCGTTTTGATTTTTTCTTAATTTTTACTGTATGTTAATATTACATTTATTAGTTTTAATTTGATATTTATTAAATAAATATGTCAAGCTGACTAATAAAAACTTTAAATTATTATTATATGATAAAATAAAATGAGTGTCGCAGCTGTGGGCTTTGCATTACTTATTACCAGTGTATTTAGTTTTGCATTTTTCTATCTTATGAAATATGCTTTTCATACAAGTAGTAACTCACTATCAAAACCTATTAGATCAACAAAAAAAAGAACAACTAATTCTGTTGTTACCAAACATGTTTCACGAGGTAACAACAAGCCAACTACATTAAAAATTAAGAAATTAACCGAGACTAAAAGAAACATTCAGAAAGCTGATGTAAGTCATTAGTTTTTATTATTAAATATTTAATTAATTTTTTTTTAAATTGTGTGTTTTTCAAAATAATTTACTTAGAGATTATATATAGATTAAGTTTAAGGGAAATTTGTTATCTTTTCAATTTTATTTTTTACAAATAAAATTAAATATGCACTTTATATTAAAAATGTATTAGAGTAGATTAATTATTACTTTTAGTTAATTGATAAATTGATTTATTTTTAACAAATACTTTTCTTATAATTTAGAGAAAACTTAAACAACAAACTATTAATTCCAAGACCAAAAGTACCAAATTGGCGTTGGTAACTACACAAGAATTATTACACAAAGAGAATGATGAACTAAAAATTTTAAAACAATCGCAACCCCTGAAAATTGTAAAAGAAAAAGTAGATAATCAAGAACTAATGAACACATTTATAAAATCTAACACTTTTTTAACAAAGTCTATTGTTAGTAATAATGTTCCTGAAATAAAACAAAAGTCTTTAAATAAAATGCCTTTAGTTGAAAAATCAAATGATACAGTTAGCAGAAAAATAAAATTATCTGAATTGAATCAGAAAAAGAATAACAATGATTTTCTAACTCAAGCTAAACAAAAATCTAAAGCATCTTCATTTAAAATAAGTGATTTTGATTTTGAACATTTTGATTTTGATGACGGTAGTCTTTTAATCACCAAGTTAATTGAAAAATGTGATCTTTCACGAGAACAAACTCAATATGTATTGGATACTTTACTTAATAAACAACAATCTGTAAATATGAAGTCTGGTAGTATGACTACAGAATGGGTCAAAGTAAGAAAATAATTTATCCTCATTAGTTTTTTAATGCAGATGTCACTTACCAGAGTAAAAAGTGTGAGCGGAGTAACAAATGATTTTAGGGTAAGGAGTGCACCAAGGATCTGCTTTTATATATTTTTTATAGCGATGGATGAAATTACTAGAGAAATAGAAGGTAAAGGACCAGGATGTATGTTGTTCGCTGACGATAAAATGTTTATAGAAGAAAACAAGGAAGAAATTAATCAAACACTAGAGGCGTGGAGATCAGCTCCAGGGAATAAGAATAAGTAGGAGTAAGATAGAGTATATAGAGAACGAGTTTGACATAGGAGAACACGAGCTAGGTAAAATAAGGAGATCAGTAACAATAAGTGATGACGTGATAGGTGGAAAGTTTTAAGTATTTAGGATCAGTTGTGCAAAAGAACAATGTTATGGATGAGGATGTTAGACAAAGGTTTAAGTATGGGTGGGTGAAGTAGAGATAAAAGTCTGGTGTGTTATGTGATAAGAGAATTCCCATTAGGCTGGAAGGTAAGTTCTATAAGATTCTTTTGAGACTAGCTATAATCTATGATTCAGAATGACAAGAGAATAGAGCAGAGTATGAGTGTAGTAGTAAGGTGGCCATCAAAAATTGAATGTTTTTTTTTTTACGCTACCCCTTTAATGGGTCGGCCACCTTTTTCTTAAAATTTTACTTGACATGATCTCTCATATCATCTACACACACATCAGTCATCTTCATATTGCATTCAATAACATCCCTCCATCTCTTTTCTGGTTTTTCTCTACCTCTTCTTCCTTCAATATTCATTTCCATAATTGTTCTTACAGCTTCCAGTTCCTCTCTCCTCATCACATTACCAAACCATCTAAGTCTATTTTCTCTCATCAATAGATGCTACACCTCTATTCTCTTTTGTGTGTTTGTTCCTTATCCTATCTTCTCTAGTCCTTATACTCATCTACATAAGCATCACCTCTGCTACACTAGGGTGGCCCTCAAAAATCAAACGTCTATTTTTTTACGTTACCCCTTAATTTTTTTTTAATGGTCAAAAAAATGAGCTATGCAAAATTTGGGACTGATCCATAAAGATCAACTCATGGCCTGGGCCTATTAAGTTGAATTAAAGAGGCAAATTTAATAGAAATAATTGATCTATGTCTCAACTTTTTTTTACTGAACTTAGAATTATGATAGTAAAACTTAAATAAAGGAAATTTTACATGAAATTAAAAAATAATAACTTTAATGTTGTTTTCTTAATAAATAGCACACAAAAACACTGCATACAGTAAAAAACATGCAAGTCTTAAAAATACGTTAAACTGATTTTGTTTATTTTTACTTATTAATTTTCAATCTATTTTTTGGAAAACGCTTATTCGTTTAAAAAAAAATTCTTAAAGTTCTAATCAGTTACTATTTGTAAAACGTATTGTTATAACTCCAAAATGATGGATCAATTTTCAAAATATCAGTATTCAGATTAAATAGTTTAAAAAAAATCAAACGTTTTTTTAATACAAAGTATTCAATATCCTTTTTTAGATAATCGGCTATATCATATTGGTTTAATTTCAAACGTTTTATTGTCTGACTTGACATTGAATTAAGATGAGCGACCATTTTTCTTTCAACATTAACATCTATTTTATTATCAAAAAATGCCAGACCAATGGATTGTGGACTTAAGAACCATAAGTGGTTTACAAATTTAGAAAGCACAATTCCAGATATTTCACTGTCTAATCATTTATAATTGTATAATTTTTTAACAAAATTCAAACCATTATATGTTGCTACAACTGTCGAAGTTGCTGTAAACCACAATTCAACATAAACTAGTACCAAAAATTAAAAAACATCGTGTAATCTTTGTGTTTCTCTACTAATAAGTTTAAATTCATCTTTAAATATATATATATATATATACAGTGCTCGAATTGGGGGGGTGCGCTCCTCTACTTTTTTTTTAAATTTTTTTGCGCACCCCAACTACTTTTTTTTATTGGGACGGGAGGACAGTGGAAAATACCACCTCTTCTTTTTTTTTAAATATTAGTATGATAATGAAATATGATTTATTAATAAATACTAAATAAAGTAATGAGTAAAAAAAAAAAAAAAGGTCTTCAAAATACTAGGGACGCAGTTTTCAAATTGTTAAGTTGAGCTCCCCTACTTATTTTTGGCCAATTCGAGCACTGTATATATATATATATATATATATATATATTGAGGCTATAAATGACCATAACCATCCAACAAGCATGATGAATAGCACCTGGCTTATGAAAAAATAGATTACTCTTTACCCTGAAAAAAATTAATGTTAGCTCGAGGGATGCTTTAAAGTCATTCTTTGATTGTAAAAAATTATTATCTTCTGAAGTTCTGGTTCTATAATTTCTTTAATATTATTTTGAAAATGTAGGGTTTAAAATTTTCTTTATTTAAATCATTCCAAGCCTGTTGAAATTACTTGAAAATTGGTATGCCGTACCAGTAGAACAACTAATTTTACTATCGAAAATGCCACTGAGTATAGTATCAAATATATGTTAATGGCAAGATAAATGAAGCAATTCTTTTACTAAAAGTCGTTCCAACAAAACACATGTACCTCATAAATAACCACTATTTACAGCAGTAGTATACAAAGATAAAGCCTTTAGTGATTTATTTATGTTCCATTGGACTAAAGTTTCATATAGCAATAATGCTTGATTTTTAGACATAATATAATAATACAATATATTTTGTTAAGTTTGTAATTAATAATTAATTAACTGTCCATCAAATAATAAATCTATTATAATTATCGTACTTGTCATAAAAGATTAAACTTTTAGAATTTTTTTTTTTTAACAAATAAGCATTTCCCAAAAAATAAAATGAAAATTAATAAGTAAAAATAAACAAAATCAGTTATAATGTATTTTTAAGACTTTTACGTGTTTTTTACTGTATGTAGTGTTTTTGTGGGCTATTTATTAAGAAAACAACATTGAAGTTATTATTTTTTAATTTCTTGTAAAATTTCCTTTATTTGAGTTTTACTTTCANTCAGTCCCAAATTTTGCATAGCTCATTTTTTTGACCATTAAAAAAAAATTAAGGGGTAACGTAAAAAAATAGACGTTTGATTTTTGAGGGCCACCCTAGTGTAGCAGAGGTGATGCTTATGTAGATGAGTATAGGGACTAGAGAAGATAGGATAAGGAACAAACACACAAAAGAGAATAGAGGTGTAGCATCTATTGATGAGAGAAAATAGACTTAGATGGTTTGGTAATGTGATGAGGAGAGAGGAACTGGAAGCTGTAAGAACAATTATGGAAATGAATATTGAAGGAAGAAGAGGTAGAGAAAAACCAGAAAAGAGATGGAGGGATGTTATTGAATGCAATATGAAGATGACTGATGTGTGTGTAGATGATATGAGAGATCATGTCAAGTAAAATTTTAAGAGAAGGGTGGCTGACCCCAAGTAGTTGGAATAAAGGCGTGGAAAAAGATGAAGTAGAAGAAAAAAGTTTTTTAATGTAGATAAAATGAATATTATATTCATTTTTTACAGCCTAGTGATTCTTCTGAGAAGAAATTAAAAAAGAAATTACAAGAAAATGAAATTCAACTAAAACATTTAGAAGAACAGTTAGCTGGAGCTAATAAAAAAACTGGAGAATATCGTGCAGAATTAAATACTCATATATCTCGTATTCGGCTTCTTGAAAATAAATTTAATGAATTACAAGCTGTTAGATCATATGAAGCTAAAGAGAAATCTACTATTATTGCTGAGCTGGCCAAATACAAAAATGTAATTAATACTTTAATTTTAAATTTAACAACTTTAATGTTATATTAAACCATTAAAATACATTATTTAAATATTAATCGAATAAAAATTTTTTAGAATCTTACTAGTATAGAAGAACAATTAAAAAAGTCTAAATCAACTTTATCTCTTCATCAGCAGCAAAGTTTGGATATATTAACTGAGAAAGATAAACAAATTAAAGAGTTGCAAATACAACTTTTAGAAGTAAGTATTTTGCTGTTTTTAATTTAAAATTTCCTTAGATATTCATTGTAGTTCTAGATCATATTTCTAGAGGTTATATCTTCTCTTTTTAGAAATATTTCTCTTACTAGAAACTATTATTGTGTCTAAACTTTGTTTTTATTTATCATTAAGTTATTGATTGACAAAATTATAATAAAAAAATTTGCATCCTTTATTATAAACTAGTAATATTTTTTGAAGTCATGTGGAATCAATCACATTACAATGGAGTGAAATACTGTAGTTTCTTATTTAATACATTTTTGATTAAATAATATTAATATAAAAAATTATATAAATATATCATATTGTAAATTGTTACTTATCACTGTAAAAATATATATTCTTAGGTTCAAGAATGTTTAGCTGATAAAATTAAAATTAGTTCTGTTGTACCTAACTCAACTTCTGTAGCGGAAAATGTGTGCAATGGAAATTTAAAGAACACAGTTATTGAAAGACCTGCAGTAGAAGGACAGGAATATATACCGGGAGAACCTGACATCTTAAATAATGGTGTAATTGTTAATTCAATAGAGTTTGAAACAGTTAAAAAAGAAAACTATTTTCTGAAATCTCGCTGTGATGATTTGTAATAGAACAATTTATTTCTTAAATTAGTTAACTTATTTTTATAAGTGTAAATTTATAAATTACAGGGAAAAAAAATTAGTCAATAAGGAAAAACAAATCAAAGAATATTCAAATGAGGTAAATGAATTAAATAAAAATGTTGTGGATTTAGATAAAAAGTATCAAGAAGAAATAAAATTGCTTAGAGTAGAAAAGAAATCTTATGAAGAAAAAAACCATGTATGTTTATATTTTATTATTTTATTTAAAGTTATTTTATTGATTTAATTAAAAATTATGGTTTTTAGGAATTAAGAGCAAAGAATTTTAAGGTTCTCGAAGCCTTAAAACAAACAGAACGTGCCTTGGAAGCTAAAATTAAATCAGTTAGATAGTTTTACTTAATTATTTCTAATCACTTTATTGTATAAATTTAAATGTTTAACCTTTATATTTGAATTAGGAACAAGATAGAAAACTTCGAGATGATTCTAAGTATAGTTTTAAGCGTGCACGGCAATTATTACGCCGTCAGTTATTACCACAAGACTCAGATTCAGATGAATCATCAGATAAAGAAACTATGAATGATGAAGATGATGAAAAATGGTCACAAGCATTTGCTAAAAAAGTTCTTAGATATTATGAGAATCAACAAAAATCTATTAAAATGAAACATGTTGTGAATAATCAACAATCATTAGATCAACAAAATAGACATGATATTGTCTTAAGCCTGGAACAACAAAATGATAAATTGCACAGAATGGTCACTCACTACAAAAGCATAATATCTGATACAGTATGTTATTTAAACTTATATTTGTTATCAATGTTATAAAAAATATATGTATGTATTTATTAGTAATTTTCATGGTATTTTTAAGGAAACAATGTTAAGCCAACTACATAAACATGTTGAAAATGAAGAATCGCGATGGTGTGATCAACTATTAGAATTACAACAGCAATTGGATAAAGCTAATGCTGAACTACAAAGGCGCAAGGTAAACTACAAATCGCAGGATGATAATATATTTATAAACACCCTTAAATAAATATTTTTATTTTATGATAATGATATTTTATCAATATACGATGGTATCAATTACCAAAAAAACCCAGCACAGTGGGGTCGCGGCACAGTGTGGTTGTGGCATAGTTGACCCAACTATGCCATTTTATACTTGACCCAAGTATAATGATATCTGACAATGATTAAAATTTCTATCATAAAAACTGCTTTAATCTATCTGTAGATAGTATTTAATTTTAAAAAATTGGTGGATTATTCTAAAAGCTACATGATCTTTTATTTCCTTATTTATATCCTGATTATAAGTTTTATGATTTATAAGTGTATTATATGAATAAATATATAAATAATATATAAAGGGAAGTGGTGCTATTTTAAAAAAAAGTATGTCGAATGAAAGAGAGATATAAATATTTTTTCCCATAAAAAAATTGTATTGATCCATACATTTTTCAAAAAGTTATAGCATAATAAAGTTAACAATGTAAAATATAAAATCAAGAATTTTCACACAAAAATAGCATTTGGTAGCCATTTTCTTCATGAAGACAAAATAAAGTCTGAAATTTTTTTTCCTATCCTTAAGACTACTAAATATTATTTTTAGGGTAAAGTATATTTCTGAAAATGAAATTGTATACAAATATATTTTTAGAACTCTAATTATTTATACATTTAACACTTAGTGCCCTCAAATTAGATTTCATAAACAAGAGTCTTTGCCGAACTTTAATAAAAAAATTTATATATCTTATTATTTTCTTTAATATTATACAATAAGTTTAATATGAATTCCAATTGATATTGGTATTCAAGAATTTAGTTCAAAAGATCTTATTATGAATTATTTTTATAGCTAATTTATGTCTATTTTTACAGGATGAAGAATCATCTTTGAATACTACAATGAATTCTTCTATATCGTCTTTATGAAACTTAAAAAACCTAATTATATTTACTTGTAAGGCCAATCAACAGATGAATCTTTGCGGCATTATTACATTTTTTCCGTCCAAACAATAAAAATATCAAAGCAAATATACAGTAAAATAATTGACAATAAACTACATCATACTTCATGCTGCAAAATGATATTTTGTTTAGGATAGTGTCACATTACTTTTGTAGTTACCCAATTTTTATGGGATATTTTTTCTACATTGACAATAATTATTCAATATATTTATATTTTTATAATTATCTATGTATTAATGAAATCTGATGTAGTGTTTTTTTTTTTTTTTAATTTAAAACATGAATGGGTAAATTGTTGAGTTTGTTTTTTGGAAGAAAAAACAAAAATATTGGGAAATAATTAAAATTTAGATTTTTTCTTTATTTAATTCCAATTAATTAATCAAATATTATTTTGCACAAATATTATTATAATTATTATTACCATCGTTGATTTATTAAATTATTTATTATTACTAAATACATGGTAAATCTATTTTGGTTGTGCCACGTATTGCATATTTATTATATTATTTTTACTTACACTAATAATCGTTTAAATATTATACTTATTTTATTAGGTTGTACATAAATATTATTATTTATTATTCTATATTAAATATTCAAGTTTATTTATACTATTTGTAGTGTTCTTTTATCCCATTTTAATGAAACAATATTTAGATTAATTGATAGACTTGTGCATTTTGTAAACAAGACTTTATATTAATATATTAAATTATTTAGTATTTTATTATTTTATCTAATAAAATTATATTGAATAATGGTGAAAAATCTACAATACCATATGGTGACTGTTAATTTTTTTTAGTCTTGTAATTATGAAAGTCATGTGGGAGCAGCAATATAATCATCAAACATTTTTGATTGCCATTTTTTTCGTAAAATAATCACATACAATTTGTATGTGATTCTAGACATTTTTAGGCATAATAAACGTAAATAGTGTTTTGTAAAATGGAAGCTTATGTTGCAAAGATGCAAAAAAAATTTTTTCGCACTTCTCAAAGTGATGCACTTAAAATTTTTAACTATTTATAAATAATCATGTATAACATATACTTACTACCACTATAGTATTTACTATAACTGTTGATTACTAATAATGTATAAGTCTTTATATAATAATATACATAAAATAAAGAAAAGTAAGTAGACTTAAATTTATGTATTAACAAAATAATGATTAATATTGTTCAATTCTTCAAAAATATTGCTTTTATCTATTGTTAGCATAAGGTTTTACTTAATTTATTATTTTAATTATTATGAACTTTATTAACGTGTTAGTATTTGTTAAATAAAATATTAAATGTAAGATAAACTAAAATATTCTTGAAATGTCTTTACCAGTAAATAGAAAGGGAGTATTAGAGAAGGTAATTACTTACTCTTGAAATATTCAGAGACGATTGATTGTAGTTTTATGAGTCGCACATTACATTTTGTTCAAAGTGAATCGCTAAGATGTAGATTTTTAATTCCCCGAATCCAAATATCTGCGTATGCCTATATTATTACTGGAGAATATATTCCTAAAAACTCGGCACAGATCAGTCGCGGCCTAATTGAGACAAGTATATATGTGTTCACAATAATTTGTTAACTTTTAATTAAAAAATTTCTGTTTTTTAATTTTACTTAAATAGTAAATTATTGTAGAATTGTTGTTTAATTGAAAACAAAATAATCTTTTCTTTTTTTTTAATAGCTAATTTTTTTACTTAAACGGGATTTCTCACAATAGAATAATCGACGGACAACATTTTTAATGTTATAGTACGTTTCAAGAAAAGTCAGGTTTTCTTTTACGTTGTCGAAAATTGAAAAGAAAACATTTTTATAGCTCCTATAGAATTATAATATTTAGTGGCGGTTCATGGTGTAAGGAATCTAACTTAATTTCTTCCCTTCTTAAACATTTTTCTGTACAAATCAACGTGTAATTTAAATTTGTTTTTTTTACGGTAAGGCTATTATTGTGTATTCTGTGATAATACTCCACGTCACTAGTTAAGGGTTAATTTACCTTTATTGTCCCTTTTAGATAGCGTTTTAAATTAAAGCTCAGCTCTAGGGTATTTTTTATTGATACTTAACAATATATTTTTGATAACTAAATCAATCTTATTCATTTTGAAAATTTTAACGAATACGGAATGAACTAATTTGAAGAAATTGTCATAATGAACGCATAAACATGTGATGCTTTTTTTGCAATGTTTATTTTGAGTAATCCACATCTAATCATGCAAATTTAATTTCAAAATATTTCAAGTGTATAAAATTTACCCCCGTTTATCGTAAGCGCTTAAAAACAATAGTTGAATCATAATATTTAGTTTTATCATTTGTTATAATAATAACTAGTTACTGTATGTGATAACACACTTCAAAATATATAACATATTAATAAATAACTATGGTTACGAACAGACCAATTTTTTTGTACGTGTATAAAACACGTAAGCATTTCACACGTAGATCATACAATTGCTTGTAATTTCGAATAATAAAAAAAATGGTACGTATATCTTTTAAGAAATATCATAATCTTGACTTTAATTAAATTTTAAAAACATTTTTTCAGAATATTCTCGTTTTAATATTTTTGTTGGTAGTTGGTTTTGCTTTCATACAGGGTAATATGAATTTTTTTTTTTGGTATATTTTCATGATATTTTAATGTCTGAATAGTTTGTACAAACATTTTACTGTACATAATAATATTTTGCACATGTATGGAACATTTGATGAAAATACAGAATATTACAATTTGTTACTTGTTATGTATGTAATTGGTGGCGGCTCGTGGCTTGGACGACGGGACGATCGCAACCCCTACTAAAATTAATTAATAAAAGAAAATTAATTGTACATTCCAATTCTACATTTTTATTAAAAATGCAAATTTTTATATACTAAAATAGTTGTAATAAATTTGTCATGTGCGAACATTTAAGTTGTTTCCCTCAGTATATGCGGGTGGCATACACACACGAGCAGTGTTTGAACGACCGACAGCGTCGTCCATACGGTAAAATATTGGTATATGATTTATTTGGGTATTTTATTTTTAGAATTATCTACGTGTACGATCGTCGTTATCGGTTGGTATAATAGTATAATCGCTAGTATAATAGTATCTTTTCTATTTTCTACTGCGACCTTTAAAATAATAATATGTGTATTATATTTAATTTTGTTATATTTAATTTGACAATTTTTTATACCCATGACTAGCGGTATTATATTTAAAGTCGCACCCCCACCACCAGTGTACGATGTAACTCAACGAGCTGCCACTGTATGTAACATAATAATTTATTAAGCCCTTATGACGGGTTGCATAAACGTTCATTAAACGTTTAATGAACCAATAGCGGGTTATTAAATAAATAAATATCAAACGTTGATTAAACTTATTAGTCCATAAACTAGCGGATACCAACTATTAAATTAGTGATTTCGGACTATTGAAAATTTAAACTTCATTTAAAATTTTACTGTTTTATTGTCTGATAGGAAAAATCCTACAAATTTAAGATGAAATTTCAAGTTTTCGTTAAATATTTATTTACAGACTATCATAGTTTATCATAAATTACTCTATTACTCACATGATGATTACAATACGGAAAAATAATTTTTGACCTCTTTTACTTACAAATAATTCTTGATTTATCAGCTAATAATTACTTTTTGGAATCAGCCCTTATAACTTAAAGGAATGTTAACTTAATTTTTTTAAATGGTAACATACATATTTAATTAACTTATAAAATAGAAAATTATCAGTCGTTAACAACTTTCAGTATTTCTAACTATTATAACTAACAGTATTTTAGAAGTTATTAACAATTTAAAGTAATGACTCGAGGTGATGAGTGGGTGCTGCTATTTTTATCATTAGTTATTTTCTGGACTTTCTTTTCGTCCCGCCATGGTATAAAAATGAAAATAACTTCTGAAGTACTGGTTCGAAAGTTGTTTTTCGATCAATAATTTTCTTAATTGGATAATTTTATATAATATCAGTTAATTACATATGTATGTTGCCATTTAAAAAAATAAAAGTTAACACTCCTTTAAGTTATAAGTTATTTATTTTGAGAGTAATCGAGTGGTTTATGATAAACCAATCACTCTGTATTTATTAGTGTGTCTAACAAAAATTTTTTTTTTTAATTTGTTGAACTCTTAAGTATAATTGCTTTTATAGTAGTAAAAATGACCTGACTTGGATTTTTTCCAATGCCATTTAGAGGTCACTAAACCGACTTTAAACTAAAATTTAAGAACTCTCTTAACAAAAAATATTTTTTCGAATAATTCATTATTCAAGTTACAATAACTGTAGTAATCTATTAATTACTAATAGAAATATTGAAAATAAATTGAATCTGGTTGAATTTTTGTGTACATTTTATTCTGTATAAGGGTTAAAAACAGTCATTGTTTAAAGAATAAAATTTAAAAAAAATGTTTATTCAGTTTTAATTACACACAATAGATTATTTTGAATGTAATTACAAAGAAATATATCAGTGCAGTTTTAAATAATTATTTATAAAAATTAGTGATATATATATATAAATTGAAGTACTGTTATATCATTAACTATTTACTTATAAAATATTTTGAATACAAAAGAATCGATAAACGATTAAAAATTATTTTAAACATATATTACAAACTTTAACTATAAAATATTAATAATTGTTTCATTGTTCAAAGTATATTATAATCGTTTTATGCCCATCTAGAAATGATATTCTGTGTATTTCAATAGTTTGAAATAAATGTTGAAAATCATGTTCATTAGCTATCAAAACATTGTTGTATTTACAAGCTAAAACCATTTTACGTTTACTGATATCATGAGAAATAAATTAAAGGTTTGAAATAAGCTTGATTAGAAGAATGTAAAAATATAGGTAGATACTTAAAACTTGACAGAAGGTAAGTTTCATGAAAGCAGGATCAAAGATTATGAACTAAATAAATGGCAAACATGATCACATGGTAGATATCACTACTTTGATAGAAATTAGGTTTTTAAATTTTTTCAAGAAATAATAATATATTAATTTTTAACAATGTAATAATTTACAAAATTATATTTTCAACATTATATATTATTATATTCCAAGGTTAATTTATAATATTGTTCTAGAGGCTGAAACTTAATTTTATTTTAAATCATTTCAATATTTTTTTATATATATTTCAAAATAACATGAATCATCAGATAATAAAAAATATTCCAATAATAGTTATAACTGTAGGATTAATCGAATTAAATATTATTATGGTAAAAAATTATTGTAATTCTTGTTAAAACTTTTTTCATTGTTACAGCTGAATCAAATGAAAATGAATTTCAATTTCCTCATCTTATTGAGACAAGTATGAGTAAATATTGTCAATAATATTATTCAACTATAAAGTTCTCTTATTTTTCGGATTGCTTAAAAATTGGCCAGTTTCTGGTCAATTGCTGGCTCAAAATGAATTTAGGAAGTAGGTAGGAGATAGGAAAAGGAGTATTCAGAAGTCATAAAAAAGTTTCATATTTCCTTACAGACCCTACTGTACTGTATGTTTCTACAATTTGTGGAGTCTGGGGCATAACTCCTTCCGAAAAAATTGTCATGCTTTCCAAATAAAGACATTTATTTATGTAAGTCGGTAATACTCCCATTTAAAATTATAAATACAGTAAAACTCGCTTAAGACGCTCTTTAAGGGACCAGCTCCCTAGAACTTCTTAAGCGGGAAAGCGTCTTATGCGGGAATGAAAAAAAAAATTATGTGATTGAAATATCGAGTTTATTTTTTTATTATTAAACATAATTTAATGGGAAATACATTGTTTATTAAAACAAATTATCTATTTTTGATTGTTTAAAGTTCTGACAATGCGTTTCAGCAAGAAAGTTTTCAATTTTATTAAGACAACCTAACATATCTTCGGAATTTTCAACAGAGGATAATAATTCCGAATTTCCGATAGGTGTTGCAAACTAGCAGTAATTGTAGTAGTAGATACTGGAAAGTCTTGATCTTCTTCTTCTTGATCGTCGTTATTAAAATAACACGTTATTTTTCCATGAATCTGTTAATAATGATGATCATTATTAACAGATTCAGCCTCACCTGAAATTTGCCGGTACACAATGCCATGCCTACTCCGAAATCTATCCAGCCAACCAGTCGATCCACTAAATTCGGTTAAGTTAAGACGTGCGGCAATCTCCATTGCCTTTTCCGTGATTACACCTCCATTTATTGGATAATTTAAACTGCGAGCTTGTTGAAACCACTCCAATAAAACATTTTCCAACTTTTCATACTTCCCGTGTTTTAATTTTTGTCGTTTGCTGCCACCTAACATGCTGCTTTGTTCTATTTCATGTCTGTTTTTCAATAAAGTTCTCAAAGTAGAAGGAGGTATCCCCAGTTCATTAGCAATATCCTTTTGTTTTTTTTTCTCAACCAATCCTTCATCGTACTTCTTCAAAATGTTAAGTTTGTCCGAAATTGATAGCGCTTTACGTTTTATACCACTAGCCATAACGAAATAACAAAACTACTAAAATTTATCGTAATATGCTGAACAAAAGAGCGTTTTACCCGATTAGACAGAGAAAACTGAGCGTCTTAACAGGTGGTTTTTACATTGACTAGTATAGGAAATGTCTAGGGACCGACGAAAAACAGCGTCTTATGCGGGAAAGCGTCTTAAGCGAGTTTTACTGTATTTATAATATTTTTATCTACTACCTTTACTGCCTTTTCCCTCAAAATTAGGGGAACTATTTTTTAGAAGTGGCCCTATTATCGTCTATTATCGCCTATGTTGGGTAACTTTTTTATATATACGAGGTGTGTTCATAAAATAAAGAGAAATTTTTAATATTGCGGGTTTGGAGAGTCTGATTGTCAAACATTTTTTTTTCATAATGTTGATACACATATCCCTGAAGTATGATCAAATTTTCAGCTGGAATCATTTTTTACTTTGTCAGTGGCAGCCGCCAAGGTTAGGCGTGCTTTTATGGACTCTGCGATTATTGTTTGTTAAAAAAAATGGATAAAAGGATTTGTACCAAATTTTACGTTAAAAATGAAATAAAGTGTAACAAAATGTGTGAAATGTTAACAAAGGATATGGTGACTGTGCTATGAGTAAAACAATGGTTTACGAATGGTATAATCGTTTCCAAGATGACCTTGAAGACGTTGAAGATGACGAACGCCCTGGACGCCCCTGCACATCAACAACCAATTAAATAGTAGAAAAAGTGTAAGAAATGGTTATGAACGATCGCCGAATAACAATTAGAAAAGTTGCTGATGATGTTGGAATGTGGATTGGCTCATGCTATGAAAATTTTTCAAATGTTTTTTGTATTAAACGCATAGCAGTAAAATTGGTTCCAATATTTTTGAGTTGAACAAAAACGGCAGCGAATGGAAATGACCAGGAGTCACTTAATGAAGTCAACGATGATGCAGAATTACTGAAACGTTTTATAGTAGGTGACAAAACATGGGTTTATGGATACAATGTTGAAACTAAGGCTCAGTCGTCCAAGTGGAGGCATTTTGGATTGCCAGGATTGAAAAAGGCTCGACAAATGCGATCGAACGTGAAGGTTATACTCACTATGTTTTTCGATTTAAATGGTATAGTGCATCAAACATTCTTGTCACGAACGATTAATAAGGAGTACTATCTACAAGTTCAACGCCGTTTACGTAAAACAATCCGAAAAGAAATGCCCGGATTTGTGGCAAAACAATTTATGGATTTTGCACCACGATATTGCACCTGCTAACACTTCATTGTTTGTTCGTGAATTTTTGTCCAAAAACAACACTGTAATGATGCCCCAGCCTCCATATTCGCCAAACATGGCTCCGTGTGACTTTTTTCTATTTCTAAAATTAAAGAAAACCTTAAAGGGCTATCGTTTTACAAGCATTGATGACAATAAAAATCGCATCGCTGAATGAGTTAAAGACTATCCCAAAGATCGAAATTGAAATATTTTGAGGATTGGAAGAAACGTTGGCACTAGTGCATAATATCTAATGGGAATTTTTCTGAAGGCGCCAATAATGTAGACAAATAAATAAATATTTTTTTCAAAAAACTAAAATTCCCTTTATTTTTAGAACACACCTCGTAAATCTATAAAAGAATAATATGCCAAAAATAAATATTTTTGCATATTATTTACACAAAAAATGTATTTTTAATAACGTAATATTTATTGCATTTTCAAGGTTTTATTTAGCTTCAATGTAAATTATTTTGAAACTTTTAAAATTTAATTTGAACAATAATTATGATTGACAATAAATATTATTATTAGATGTTTTCAATTGATCATAAGAAGCATTTTATAAATTTTATTTATTATTTCCATTTCGATTTTTATCAAAAAAGAAACCGTTGTATTCTTGTTTAAATTTTTTTATTTTTACAGCTGAAACAGATTTAAATGAATTTAAATATCCTCGACCAATTGAGTCAAGTAAGATTTAATGTTTTAAATAATATTATCCAACTATAAAATGCCTAAAATGCTGGTGTTATTTTAGGATCTTCGGGTTTTTTTTGTAATGGTTGTATGAATTGTTGGATGATTTGTGAGGAAAATAATCGAATTTTATTAAATTGTGGACATCATGTTTGCAAAAAATGTGATCAAATTTATCATGGAAAATACTCTAATTGCACTTTTTGTTCAAGTGTAAAGTTTCACGAAAAATAGTATTAGTTATAACATTTTAATCAAAAACGAAATATCTAGTACTAAACTTTGATATCGTTATAATAGACTTTATGAAATAATAAAGCTTATTAACATTTTTGATACATTGTAATAATGCAAAAAAAAAAAAAATTAATTAATAAATTTAGTGATTCATAGTGACTAAATTAATCCATTTAAAATCAGATTAGTGAATAGAATCAACTAACTTTAAAATTTTAATTAAATTTGAACTACATATCTACACGTTTTTTTTATTCTGTTGTTCAAACTATTCTTCTTGTATTATTACTTATTTATAATTTTCGATATAAATAATTATCATTCGCTATTAATTTATTTTTTAATTATATATAAGTACTTAAAAATACTTATTATAAATTGTAATATAATGAAATCGGTAATTTATATTTTTACTTTTGAATAGTTACATGCTCTTCAAAAATATCTTTGTATGTTTTACCATTGTCTTAGTGACGGGTTATTTAATAATTTGCGAAAATTCGCAATTTTATTATGTTTTCATTAATCTTATCTACATCTTATTTGCTACATACACCTTCAAAGTTAGGGCATATATATATATGTTTATTGTCTCGTATTCTTTCACCTTCACACTTGTCATCTTCTGACAATCCCAATTTAAAAAAGTTCCTTATTTTCGCTCGTATTCCACTTTAACTAGGTTAATTATTCTCCAAAGGTTTCAAGAGTCCTCCTTCTATATAATTCTTCTTTTGATTTTATTGTTATCGCGTCATTCAGGTTACTGTCCCTTTTGTTTTGTCTCCATTACTCTATTCTTTTTTTCTGTTTCTCCTTCAATTACTCTACTTGTTTGTAAACAACATTTTCCTCGATTTCAATCGGAACTAGGCTGATTTTATGTTGTGCATCGAGGTTGTCTATGGTCAGCTTGTACTTTTATCCTTTCGATGTCTGTTGCAACATTACGTTTAATTTGTAGTGGTGCTATACTTCTGATTATACACAAATTTTCTTTTTAGTAGATTAAAACATTCTGTAATCGACGTGCTTCATTTGTAGCTGTGTACACTTTTTTTGCTATATACAGAATTACTCCACACTGGACAAGCATACTTCCCTCAGAGAAACATAATGTCATGACTGCTATACATTTATCTGGGTCCGCTTTCCATTTGGACCCTACTAATTTACGTATTATTCCATTCCTAGTGTTTACCCTTTTCGTACAATAGTGTTTTAGATGCATTTGGTTTCAGGCGATTTCTATGGTAGTATTGCCTCAGTGTTTCCAACATTATTTTCAACCATTTTAAAGTTGTCTCGTGTAATTACGGGCAGATCATCGGCAAAATGTTGAGTATCTTTTTCGATCGGCTAGTCATTTGTATTGGTGTCATCACACTACCTTGGGGTAATTCTACTTTTGAATCCTCTACGGTCCTTCAGCATTGATCTTAGTACTACAAATTCATAGGCATTAGTTAAGTCATAGATTTTCTTCAACAGTAACTGATGACTTACGGTGTCATACGCCGCACTTAGATCTACAAATACGGCCGCCATAATTTTGCTCATCTCCAAACCATCCTCTATATACTACGTAACGTTCAGAACCTGTCCAGTACATGATTTTGTTGCTTTGTCTGGCTGTTTCATTAGTTTTAATAATGCACATACATGTGTTTTCTTGTATTCTTGGGTTTACTTTCAATCTTACTATTTTGTCTTCGAATTAAATTCTTTTATCTATTCTGATATACCATCAATACCAGCTGCTTTCCTTGACTTTAACATACTCATAGCCTCATCTAATTCTTCAATTGTAAAAGGTTTCAGAAAGTGATTTACTTCATGTTCTTTTGATTTTAATATTTTAATTTTTGCTCTTTTGTTTTTGTCTTACCATTCAAAACCTACTGCCTGGCTGTTTCATTAGGTTCCACATTAATATGTTCATGTTTTTTTACTTTTTTACTATTTAGTTTTCTGAGTAATTTCCATGCATTATAAGTATTATTCTTCATATATATTCCTACAACTGCCTTTTTTTATTCTTCTATTTTTATTTATAAGATATTCTCCATAACTTCTTCTTTCTTGAAATAGCATAGATAATTTTTCGGTTTCGGTTTTATCCCAATCACCTCCCTATCTAGTAAACACCTTATCTCACGCCGAGTCGCTTTTTGAAGTTTAACCTTCTTCTGAAAATAGTTTTCAAAGGTTTCACCGCTGAATGTTAAAAATTATTTTCAAGAACCTATTTTTAAACTGATAAAATTTGATAGTATTGAAACTAAAAATAAAAGAAATAAATTTTTTTATGCAGTACCTAAAATTAATAATAGTAAACTAAAAGGGAATTGAGCCTACTAATAAAAATATTAATAAAATTTGTGTAATTTTACAAAGAACGATGTAAAATTCGACTAAATCGTGCGACAATTGAGATATTTATATTTTGTATTTTTTAGACATGGTGACAATACGTGTTCATCTCTTATGATGAAAACATAATTTTTCAAATACCTTTACTTACCCTGTTTTTTAACAGTAAACTCTATCATTTAGAGTATTTTTTTTAAATACAGGAAAATTTTAGGTTTAATGGTTTTATTTTAAAATATGTACTGTTTTACAAGTAAATGTTTTGAAACCGTCAGCATTATTTCCGCAAATTTTTTTTCCAAATGCATTTTTATTTTTTAGTTTGTTGTATCTATTATAAACAATCAAATAATTTTTTGAGTCTTACTTCTTATAAAAATGCAATATTTTTTAATGTTACCAATAGAATAGTAAATGGACTAAGTATTTACATTGAGTTTAAATGGAGTACTATCTATGTACAATAGTATCTTATATAATATGTAAAATATCATAAAATATAATAACTGGTAGTAGATTGTAAGGTTAATTTATGATGTATAAATAAAGTAGAGGTAGTCATTAAAATAGTAACATAATAGTGAGATGCGGCATAGTTGGGACAAGTATTGATAACATCTGATGTTGATTAAAATTACTATCATAAAAATAGACTTCCGTGCAAATCTGTAGATAGTATTTAATCTTAAGAAGACATTAACTAGACGTCATAATTTTACTTTATTAGGAAAATAAAATGTGACATATAAATGATGAAAATAATATTGTCTAACTTAGTTTAAATCAAATTTCAAACTATATTTTTAAATAAAAATTGATGCTCAACGCAATTGAACTGAACATACAAAAGTTTAAAGATAGCCAATTTAATAAAATTATTTATCTTAGTATTTAATTTTTAATATTTTAATAGTATGACTTCTCCAGTAGAATAGTTGGAAAAAAAATTTTGTTAGTTAATTATAATTTAAGTTATGAAATTTAAATTGTAATATTTCATAAGCCATTGGACCTTTTATTTTTATGAAAAGAGTAAAACATTTTCTTTTAATATACTTATTGGATGGACATTAAAAGACACAAAAATGTAAAAGTATTTATAATTAACTTATAAAAAAAAATTGTACTAATCGATACATTTTTCAAAAACTTAAAGAAATATAAAGTTGAAAAAATAAAATAAACACTTTAACACAAAAATAAAATGTTTTTTTAACTACAGTGGCCATCTATACATAGAAAATGAAGTGACAAGACGACTTTTATTTTAACATATAGTAGGTAACACAAAATATAATTTATTATATGTTTAAAGAACGCAGTATTTCAAAACATTTTCTTCAAAAGTTAAGTTGAAAAGGTTGCTATTTTTAATCTTTCCTCTTTACCTTATTTGTGATCAGATAAAGGGTTAGATTTTCAATATGCGTAGTACAAGAAAATCACCTAAGGTATAAAAAAAAAAAATTATATAAAATTAATAAAAAAATTTTAAAATTTACCAAATTTAAAAATTGTAATTTTTTGGGGGATTTTTTTCATTTATGAATACAAGACATTTTTTCAATTTTTAAAGGAAATATCTTTTATGCAATTGGTGTTTTTATTTTAATTATCGTTGATGAAAATCGGTCTGGTCGGAGCTGGAAAAAAGTGGTGACAGACATATAATATAATAATAAAAATAAACTCGTACTAGTAAATTGAATACCATCTCAGCTTTGCATTGGAGCTAATGTAGGTTTTTAATAAAAATAATTATTTAAAAGTAATCTGGTGATTTTATAACCTATACTTGTAGATAAAGTATAGGTTATAAAAATCTCTATTAAATAATTACGTATGATTAATAATATAATATAGTCTTATACCTATTGATATGTTTAGTTAAATTTCATGTGAAATTAAATGATTAGGTTAATTAAAAGAATATTTCTTATTATCTTTTTTTAATTAGGTTCATTTTTACTAAAAATTTTTAAACCACCCTTAACTGATGTATTGGTTAATCATCATGACTTTTATGGCTTCATAGTTCTTTTTCTCATGAACTTATATACATAAAATATACACTTAATCCTCATACATTGTAAAAACTTATAATATTAATATTACTGTACTATTAATATTTAAAATATTCACTAACAACATTGTAGTAAGAATGAGGATCCGTTGGAAGTTTCTATCCTCGTTTAAATCTCTGCATGTGTAACAATTAGAAACATTAAAACCCGCTAATGAAAATAAGTTTAGTTAAGCAATATCAAGGTGGATGGTATATAAGTATATGACATACAAGTACATTGTACTTTAAAAAAAAATAAAAACTCAGGATGAATTGTATTTTGTTAACATACAGTTTAAGTGGTAATAACCCTTCGTTATTTCGTTGCCATTAAAACTACTTAATTATATTAGTTTTAAGTTTTAATAATAAATTTAACACGTTAATCAATTAAATTATAGTTATTTTGCTTTATTTTAATATTGTAAGAAGAAATAATTTTTTCCAGATTCTATTGACGAATCGTGTCATACTTGAATGAACAATAGTAAAGACTTTAATAGTTTAGATAAAATATTAATTGTGTATAAGTTTCCATTATTCTCATTGAAGGTTAGCTTTAATTTACCAATTTAATATGGTAATAAATTATATAGATTTGTTTGTAAATAATATTTTTATTAAAATTGAATATTTACCAATTTTGTTTCTATACTTGACT